CTGTCAATGCTACAACTCAAGGGACACCAGATCTGAAGAAAATCGATGAATTGTTAGATCAGTAAAGCTTCTTCCTTTGGGAAATACCAATGAAAAGTTTCACTAGTAACAAGCGATCAATACATCTTCTCCTTGTTATCTGCGCTAAACAAAGACACCGATTTACTTACCTAGATATTTCAAGTTGTATGCTTTTTGCAAGATATCCTCAATTCCAGCAGCGAATCCACTTGCGTTTCTTAAATCCAGAAATATTAAGGTTTCCACCTGATCCACTCTCCTTTCAAGCCAAGGCCCGATGGAATGGAATCTGCTGTTGTTCAGACTTAAACTTTGCAGTCGATGGCAGGTTTCAAATATGGTTTTTAAAATCTCCGTGGTCACCAAATTCTTACTGAGGCTGAGTTGTCTACCGAGGGGTGCAAACATGGTATTCAAAAGCCTCAGTATAATATCCTCTCTGAGCGATCTGGCGTACGGTTGGAGATCAAGGCATGACCAGAGAGAGCTGTCTCGTGACAGTCTTTTCCAGGTCCGACAAACAAGAGCAGCTCTGAGAAGATCTTTCTGAGAAAGAAAAGAAAACACCTCCAACCAAAAGTCATCTGGTAAGTATCCATGGTTGCCACTTGCAGTTTTTAGCTGATTCTTCATTTGAAATAATCATTAATTAGTGTATTTTTATGGGTAGGAAGAGAAATTATATCTCATCTTCAAGTAACTTGTAACCAGTAGTAAAAGAATTTTGCTAGAAATGCTGTTTTTGTTTGTGACGTATATAACATGCGCGCACACAAACGTCACCAGAAAGGTAAACTTTAATGGCAACGCTGAAGTAACAGTTCCATTCACAGGATAAAGTGATATTTCTTAGTCCCTGTGTAGCACCTGCCAAGACGAACGGAGGGGGAACGCACAAACTCGCTCGTACCACGTGACCGGAAACACGTAGGCCGTGCGGAATAATGAGACCTAGGAACTAGTCAAATTGTGATTTACTTTACGAAGAGGTTCAATCAAAAGAAAAGAGTCCACATCTGAATAGATTTTTCCGTGCATACCAAACGGTGATCTTCATCTAAGAATCTCTACTGAAGGGAAAGAGGCCAATGTGAAGGAAACAAAAAGACTATCCGAATAAATGGACTGGGGAATTCAGGAAAGAACATTTCCTTTAAGTATGACACCGCGTAAATACCGTTTTTGCAATTGCCGCACGCATTTCGGGGTGTTACATTCATTGCCATACTGACGTTGACGAGAATGCGCGCGCATAAACTTTAGGGAAAGGGCAGGCGTCACAGGCTGATTTAGCAATTGAACGGGAACGTCAGTTGACAACACGCGCGCAAACCAAATAACTGACTTGACTAATGGCAGAGTGGCAAATTGGGCACTGGAAGTCGAGATTAGTCCTTTCCGCGCGCCTTCCCTTCGTCAAATGACGTTCCCGTTCTGTTGCTAAATCAGCCTAATAAATACATTGCCCAACATCGCAATTACAAAAAGTATGTCCACATCTGAAGCCTCCATAAAATGTACAGTCCGCAACATGAGCAGATGATGTGGTGTAGTACTGCATAACGTATCCACAAATTAATCGTATTTTCACCGGCTGCACAATCAAAAGTTAAACAAAAATTCAGTGATAAAGAAACATTACTCTCCTTTTCGAAGAGCCCCTTTTCCCTGGAGAGATGGTTGCAGGTAACGAGCTGAACTGACTTTACACATCGAATATGATTACTCAAAACGCTTTACTGAGACTCTGTGAGAAAAGAGGAAGCTTTCTCGGAGCCTGCTGACCGAATATAAGGTTGTGGGCTATTGGGAAACCCATATTTGCAAAACTGTTCTCGTGAACAGCAGTCTTTTTTGCTAATTATTCGCGCGCGTGCAAGACCACTGTTCATAAGGACAGTCCGTTTCAAATCCCTTTTCGGATTTCCCAATCGAACGGTAAAAAGGAAATCCAAAAACAGATTTCTCAGCGTTGAAATCCGTTTTTGGATTTCGCGTTCTATTGCAAATCCGAAATCCGGAATTTAAAATCTAAATCCAGATTTCCCAATCGAACACACCCTAAGTATTGGACAACAAGTCATTTTCCATTCCAACATCTTGGAAATGAAAACAACTTATGTCCAATATCCACTGGATGCAAAAAACGTGGCCGTAATAAATTACATCGTACAGCTATAAAACGAAGACGTCAATTCATAAAATCTGCTATGATAGAACTTTTTGTGGGAGGGAGGACTTGCCAGAGAGTTATAAATTAAAGAGGGATCCTCTCTAGATCTCATATATCAAGGTACGTACACGTAGAGTCGACAACCAGGTATTAACTAGAAACTAAGGCAAAACTGGCTGATAACAAATCAATTCTTTATGAGGAGGCTTTAAACGGAAAAAGACAAAGATTGAATTAAAAAACCAAATTTGAATTGTTTTTGTCAACAACCGCCGCTTAAGAAAAGGGGAAAGAGAAACTGTGCGTTATTATACTTGATTTGTCAAATTGATAGTATCTGCGAAAAACGTCGCTGTGCATCACCTTTGTTATCAGTCCCGATTATTTGCTTATTTTCAACATAAAGTCGTTGGTACTTACACAAGTTAATCTAAAGGGGTTCGGCTTAACAGACTGACACTGCAGAATCTTCATCACACTCTATTTCACTCTTCAGTCAAGCCAGGTTGCCATTGAAAACATTTTATTTACACTATGTTCAAGTATTAAGAACAGCGAAATTTCTTCCCAAGATGTGAGGTAAACTTCCCGCTCAGAATATTGTAGATACGCCTAGTATGACGCCGGATTGCTTGCTTGGCACGTGCAGATCACGTGTATGACCATTGATCATATTAAGCGGAGGGCGTGAACAACCATCGTCAGTCCCGTGTAGCGGAGATGCAGTAACTCATTCACTCATCATAATCTAGTAAAGCGCTGTCTTCACTATGACCACTGCGAGACGTTAGATTATTCTGAAACATAATAAATACGAATACGTTTGTCACGAATTTCTAATTTTCCACCCTTTGGAAAGACTGCATTAATCGAATAAGATCTTTGTTGAGCATGTGCTGCTAGTTGCTAAGACACAGTTTCTAACCCACGTCTGCGCTTGTTACAGCGGGCACAGCGGTTTATCAATAAACAGATGCTCGCACTGGAAAAACCAGTTTGAGGATAGAGAACAAGTTAAACTGGTCCAGAAGTTCGGGCTTCGGAGACTTCAAAGGCTTGACGCTTTTCAAGCACAGCCTCCAAAAGAAGACAAAAAGAGGTTGTGCTCTCCGGCTGCTAATTTTCAGGCACAATCTGACCAATGTTACTAAACAACAACAAACTCTGCCATTCTAAAGACCTTACAGGCTGCAAAGAAATTGTTTTACTCGACCTTTTAATCACAAAATGGTAGACTTACGAATGATAGTAACTAAAACACGCCTACAAGTAAATGGCTTAGTCAAATATAACTGCTCCACGGAGGGAAACTTATCAAGAGGATTTAACGAAAAAAGAAATTATTGGTACTAGTATCCCTTAATGGCCATTGACATCGGGAATGGAACTATGTGTTGTCAGAGATAACAAAATTCAATTCTGTGAAAACTATTATGTTTTGAGCCAAAACAATGTTCGCTAAGGAAGGGTAATACATGTACAAAACCGAGTTCCATGCACTTACTCTGCTGGACTCGAGAAGTTGCAACTTGACTGCAGTTTCATTCAGTTCTCGGTCAGCGGACATAAGTTCCTATAAATTGACAAAATACAACCTCAGACACCTCAGCTTCTACACATTCACATCACGCGTAGTCATTTATAGGGGCATTGAGATTGAATTTTTAGGGAAAATGGGTTGAATTGAGAATTAAAGAAAGAAGGGAAGAAAAGAGTTTACACGTAACAAAGTAGGCCGATTTAGTTTAGCACAGACAACACAACCACAGTTTCGGCAGCGCGCGCAGATCTTAGAAACGCTGCGCCTTAACCAATGACAGAGCAGCAAATTGAGTAGCCTGTGTACAGACCCCCCTTCCCTCAGGAAAAGAGGAGGGAGGAGGGGGGGGGGTGTACACAGGCGGCCAATTTAGCACCGTCCATAAATTTGAATTCAGCAGTTTTAGACCGAATGAAGTTTTGTCATGATTTTAAGGGAAAAATGCTGAAATGTACGAAAAACAAGGCTACAACCAAATTACACTCTAAATTTCAGCAAGAGAGGATTTCAGTTATAAAGTAGGTGCACAGTAAATCAGAAAGATCTGTTTTAGCCCTAAAAATGGGGCCGCTTCGGTAAGTAAAATACAGTCCTATTTTTGAATCTCATTTGGCTCCCTTAAATCAGGGCCAATACAGTCCAACTACCTAAGGTTGATTTGGACCCAATGGCTGAAAAGGGCCCCAGCCTAGGCTGGAAGAGCCTTTAGACTGGGCTTTTTTCGCTTTAACTGTGTTAAATGACTCCAGGAGGGGCTGGATCAGACATGGGCCTGCACAGTTCTTTCTTATTTTCAGTGTGGTCATCATCTCTACACGATATGCCACTGCAGCCACTACACACATTCTCAAAAGCTTTTATAAATTCTACTTTTACCATTATTCAATAGACACACTACATAACTTACATAACTCCCTATCTACCATTGGCGACAAAATTAACCGAGACACTTTGCCCCAAAGGGCCTGTCTGACTTTTTGCCACCCCCTCGGTACAATGCTGTGTTGCTGTTCAAGCTACCTGTAGAAAGCATAAAAACACCCCAACTTTGAATGGAGGGGACAGAGGAGAGGTGTGGATTGTTTTGTTCTCCGAAGTTACAAAGCTGAGGAAAATGTCTCAACAATGTTGTCGCCGATCTTCTTCTGAAAAGTGAAGCTAACTGAAGTCAGTTATAGATTGCAGAATTAAATATTACCAATCGAGGACGACCACATCATACCGTACATACATCAAAAACTCTCCCATATTTCTTACCTTTTTGAGTCACTCTATTTCGTAATTTTTCCTCTTAAGTTTCTCTGCTGCCTTTTTCTTTTTAAGTTCCTCCTGTAACGGAAATTACATACACAGTTATAAACAATTATTGGATGAGGTTCCTGTGATATTAGGAATAATCAAGGTCGAGGTAAGTGTTATTAATTGAGCCGAAGGCTGAGGCAGAATAAGAATTATAGATGCTTTGTCTTGGCATCTGAGTCATCTCCATAATCATTCACTAAAGGTAATGGATCACGACGACGCATATTTCCCCTTCGTTACGGTCGTTGCCATTTTTAATGGTCGACGCTACCATTGGTAAGGTACATGTAATATATTCCCTGGATTAATTAAGTTACAATAAGGCCAGAAGCAAAGAAGAGCGTGCGCAGTAGACTGTTCACAGTCACCTATTTTCCCGTAAGATCGTCGAGATCGAGAGCTTTGCGTTACGGGCTGCCATCTTGCATGAGTGTCAAAACTACTAAGGGGGCGGGGGGCGGTTTGGGAGGAAGCGAGAAAAATAGAGAGACTGTAATTACATCACTGGCCGGGCTGCTTCAGAAGCATGTTGGCTTACGTGATTCATGCGCAAAATACCAAAAATCCTTCGTGTGTTTGAGCAAGACGTGCCTTATGTGTTATGAAAGCGTACGTTTAAAAGAAACGACGACTTGTCAACGATTTGTCAGTGTCGGCAACTTAAACTAAACCCGTTGTCAACGCAAATTAACATCCATCATTTAACGAACAATCAAACGCCTGCGTTGCTGGTACAACGCGCTCCGTGAACGCGGAAGGCTAGCGTCCCCTGTTATTGATGCATCAGTTTTAAGAAAGACAGTTTACTACTTTTTGTACTGAAATTTTTCCAAGTTTGTCGCGTCGGTGCTGTAGTCTAGTGGTAAGGGAGAAGGATTAGGATAGGAAAGGTCTGGGTTCGACCCTGGGTTACGATTGACCTTCTTGTTAATAGAAACACTCTCAATCACGCGTCAAAAATGTTCTAACAAGTGTCTTAAAAATGGCAGCAACCGTTTACGAAAGGGAACTTTGCCACAACTAACAAGTGCATGGACGGTGAAACAATATTTACTGTATATTATATAGTATATATACTTATCATTCAGCATCTTGTATCTGGTGTGTTCGTCCATGTAACAGCTATGTGTTTGTCTCTTTGTATCACGCTCATCCATATCCATGGCGAATTTCTGGACATAGGAAAAAAAAGCCAACAAAGTTAGTTGATTTTTGCCGACAAGGTTCTTTCACAAACCTTTCAAAACTCTCTGCGTTTTAAGTGAGAGTAGATCGGATACGAGAATGAAGGAGACCACATTTAGTTTTTCTCTCACGGGCAGTTTTCTAGCCTGCGAATGCACCCTGCATTTAGCCCCGCCGATCCTCAAATCTGATTGGCTATCAATTGTACCTACCGATTTCAGCACTAATAGGACAGTACGCGTCATGCCTAAGTAATTGGACAGTAGGCACCATCACGCGCGCGCTTAAATGGCTTTTTTTGTCACTGCTAGCAAAAAACTCTCGGAATTTCATGTGCTTTGTTAAAAAAACCTAAAAAATCACAAATTTTGTTATAGTCATGATTAACTGGTAACAGAACTTCGTGTCGTCCAATTCGGTCTGTAATCATACTCATGATTAAACAAATAAGTTTTATCACTCGTATGATTAACGACCGAATTGGACTCCACTCAGTCCTATTTAATACCATTATTAATTAGCTGTGTAAGGTAGTGTTCTTTACGGGTTCTTACTGTGAGCTTGGGTTACCTGTGGTCACACGTAGAATAGAAATAAAACTGTTTGTCAAGATGGTTACTTGGTTCAAGCACATTAAGTGGAAAAAGTGTACAAAGTGTGCAACCATCTTACCTTTCTTTCCTTTAAACAAACATTAAGACTCCGCTGTTGATCCAGGTCGTCTCTTAATCTACTCATTGATGCCCTAAGGTAGGCGATCTCTTCCTGGCGATTTCGAACATCCATCTATGTGGTACAATACGACAAAATCAGAGTGAAAAACTCCAGCAAAAAAAAGACAGCTTTAATGTAATCTGGGCAGGGATGTTCAAAGCTGGATTAAGATAACCCAGGGTAAGTAGGAAATTTGAATTCAGATACGAAAGCTTAAAAATCAAATTCAGTTTAATAAATTTCGTTATAATTTGATGATTGGATGCTCTCAAAGGAATAGATAAAATTATTCGAAAAAATGCTTTTGATCAAAAGAAAAAGAAAGCCGAATTGAAATTTAACCTCGGTTCAGCGCTAATTGGCTTTCAAATAACTGGGCCCCGCACATTAACCAATGAAAGGAATGAATCATACAATCCACTTCCCTATGACCCTTTATAGACTTTATGGCAATAACTTCACGGCTTAACGCTAATGTCCTATGTCAGTAAGAGCCTTGATGAAAACAGTCGTAAACAAAGAGTTTTTAGGTTAGGAGAATTTAACGTTGATTCCATTATTTAGCCTTCTCTTCCTACAAAGTTATTAGAGAGGGATGCGGTAGCCTGCGTTGCGGGCGGGATGCTTGTGCCCGGGGTAATTTATTGGCGAAGCGAGCGGTAAAGCTGCTTGGGTTCTTAATCTTCACGCGGCTCCGCCGCCAAAAAACTACAGCACTCCCGCTAATCCCGCCAGCTACAAAGGCTAAGGGATGCGCTACAAACAGATGTTACATCATCTTATAATGAAGAGAAGGAGACGTTCTACACAACTGCAACTAACAATATCCGAGCAACAAGCCAACCTTAAGTCCTGTAGCTTCAGCCGTTTTCTGTCCTGCCACTGTCTCACTATTTCTGAAACGAAGGACGAAATATTTCGCGTAATTCGACCACAAAAATCTTCACTTTTTCCATCTATTTATTTTATATAGGTGTGCACATTTACCTTCCCGACATATTACCTTGCCTTCTAAACGTTCACTGTCCTTTATTCTGCCATAACATCGTTGAGATCGAGCACTTAACGTTACGAGTCCGTTACGGGCGACCATCTTGGTTTCGAATGTACCGAGGGTCGGGTGGTGTCGGGGTTTTAGCGGTGGCGGGAGGCAAGGGAGAGAAACATCAATTTTTCGCGTCTCCTGCTAAACTTTCCCCCGCCCCCTAAGTAGATTTGTTACTCGACGGAAATCCCCAGGCCAGACCCAGTACAATCGAAACCAAGCTGGATGCCCCCAAGGGTAAGTACTCGATCTCGACGATCCTACTGAAAAATAGGGGACTATGAACAGTCTATAAATCAAGGAAAATAGAAGAACGAGGCCATGACGACAAGATGTAACAGGAGCTTTGCTTTTATCGTTTGAAATTCTCCTTTTATAACCGAGACCATTATAAGACAGGCGATGAGAATTATGGAATTGATCGCGGATTAATTCAGGATATTTGCCTGGGTTTTAGCGTTCCAGAACAATTGTGTGATGTTAGACTGTTATCAGTCAACTATGTTTTCGTAAAATCGTCGGGATCAGGTGGCCATCTTAGTTTTAAATGTTCCGAGTCCAGTCTTGGGATGACCGTGAAATCTAGTTAAGGGGCGGGGACCCCGACGCCCGCCCGCTCGGTACATATGAGACCCAGATAGTCGCCCGTACCGGTCAGAGCTCGACCCTTAAGATCTTACCAAAAATAGGGGACTGTGAACGGTCTAAGGTGATGTTAAATTAAAAGCATTTTTTATAAGACATTTTATAACCGCAGCAGGATTAGCTCAGTCGGTAGAGCGCTTGACTGCAGAGCGGGAGGTCGCGGTCGTCGCGGGTTCGATTCCCGAGACCGGACCAACACTCAGGGTCTTAAATTGACTAAGAAATGAAGGTACTCCCTTTGCAGTGTGAGCGGCTAGACCGTCGGGTGGCTCGGATGACCACGTAAAACGGCGGTCCCGTCTCCAGTAGGAGACGTAAAAATAGTGTCCCCAATTGGTACTTTCGTTCTTGACACTCAAATAAAGTGCATTTATTAATTTACTTATTTTGTTTCTTGTCTCTTTACCTTAGATGCACCAAGTCATCTTCATAAGAACCCAGAAGCTGGACTTTTCTTTCCATTCGATCGTTCATCTGTTGAACTTTAGTGACCATCAGCTCCACAGCCTGATATTCAAAGGGAAATAAATTAAAGGGAAAATTAAAACCTCATAGAAATCACTCAAAAGAATGGGTACAAAAGACGGGAGCTCAGACATGAAACAAAACTAAAGCAAAACAATTAACTATCCGCTCACTCAGGAAATAGACGAAGAAAAACAATGAACCACCTAATTACAATATGTTGACTTGTGTGTTGATTCTTCTGCGAATGGGTTAAGGAAAATAACTTTCAACTAAGAAATTCAACTTCAATATCTCTTTTCTGTTGGCCTAGTGGAACTGAAATGATCTTCCAAAATATATCGCACAGGTTCCGGGCATGTTACGCCAATTGGCTTTTATCACACTCTTGGAGCAGTCTATTAAAAACACAAATATTGCAGATCTTACTCAAGGCGCTATTAACTGATTTTCAATGGCGAGTAAAAGGAGAGTTTTTTGGTCGACCCGACCACAAGTAGAGCCGTCCTCAGCTCTTGCGCAAGCGTCCGTTAAGAAAGCTTCGACTATTTAAGTGTCATTGGTACTTTTTTAACGATTACGTGTTGTGGTATCTTCAGTACCTTTATTCTAGCATTGTGAAACAAAGACACATGTACATGTAACGGCGTACACAGGTCGTATTTTTAAGCAGGAATTGAAACTCAAATTACCTTGGTCCTGTCTAGTTCCAGTCTCTCTCTTTCCTCCACTGGGAGGTGCGCCATTGAGCGACAACCTGGTAACGAGTCTATTTCAAGCAGTGCACCGAGTGTTCGAGCCAACTTCAGATACTGCGAAAAGAAAAAACAGTTACAGTTAAAAAAAGCCTGGAAAAATAACGACTTAAGCAACTAAAATAACTTGTTTCTTTGCGTGTTTGGAGGACAGAGGAGTGACGCGCTCAAATAAAACGACGCAAGAATAGCCTTGCAGTCTCCGAAGTAATGGACTCGATTTCCGCCGCTCCCTCAGTCCTCCCAGAGGAGCGCGAGCTAATTTTCCGAACAGCGTTTGGTACCGTGCCAGGCGTTCGAAAGGTAACGGTAGAGGGTACGTACATTTCATTTCGGTAGAGGGTACGTTCATTTCCTTTTTCGTTCTTCCTTTTCATGGAACGAATTAGGTATCTTTTAGTTTTTTTTACTCTAGAAAAAAAAGATGAAACGACACTATCTTCTATCAACTAACATTGAAAGTTGAATCAATTTTCATGAAAGACCATATTTCACCTTTATATTATAACACAGCATGTGAACTATTTGCAGTAAGGCACTCTTGACAGACTACCCCGTCTTTGTATTTACTTCTGCAAAAAGCTGCCAATAAGGCGCTCATGCAAAGTCGTTTTTTTAACGGCGAATGATGACCGGAGCGTACATTTATTAGCGTCAAGCCATTAATTTCGGACGCTCAATAACGCCTTTGCTCAAGCTCTTATACTCCTCACTAATTTTTTCGTGTTTATATTAAAATCAACTCACCGTCTTTTCACTGAGATCTAATGCTTCCTTTGTTTGCTGGTGAGCGCCTTTTTCCAAATCGGTTTCAGCGAGACTGGCAGAAGCCTGCTCACGACGAACTCTGAGCTGTTACAAGGAAACAGATAAAAGGCATTTCACAAACGACTATCACGGCATGCAGAGCATGCTATAGCATTTGAACATGTAACCGTTCATTCGCGGAATATTAAATTATTAAAATAAATAGGGGAAGAAGGATCTATGACACACTCTTACAATGGCCCATGATTTTCAGCCTCTTTAGTTTGCTGGATCATACTTGAAATCTTTCAAGTGAGCAAAAATGATTATTTTTGTCATACAACAAAGTCTTGTGAAAGTATAGAGGGCAAATAATAGCAAGGACTCACTCTACAAACGACATGACTAGGGTGGACTACGAGTAGCCCATCATTCTTCTCAGTGACAGCCTGCATGACAGGCACAAGAATGGGAGGGAGAGGGGGAGGGGGGAAACCTCCCTTTTCCTCTCTTTTCCTACCCCTTCGCCTGCCACGCTGATATTCAAATGTACTCAGGAATAGTACAGCAAGCGAATAACGCGAGCGCGTGTGAAAATCGCCACCCGCGAAGAAGGTGACACTCGGGTCGTGATTTTCGCGCGCTTGAGTAATTGGCTTCCTTTACTATTCCTAAGAAAATAACCAGGGACTACGCGTAGTCCGCTATGACCACGGGACCCTTTGTCACGCAATCCTTCCTGACAGAACACGTGACGCGCCAAAAGGACGTCGCTTTTTAATATGAAGTCATGAAGAAACGCAAGCGCAGAACTCCATGAATTAGAAGAGCATCACACTGTTACGTCTGTTACCTAAGCATGCATTTCGCCTTTGCTTTTGTGGTAGTCCTCTTCTTGGGAGGCCAGCTGAGTTGTAATTGAACAGACACGATTTCTTAGCGAATTTAAGTTAGAGAATATTTAATCTGGAGTAAATTTTTGCGGAAAAAATGTTGCGGTAATTTTTATTTGCAGGAACTTATCTTTGCGGATCGCTGGAAAAAAAAACCCGCCAAAACCGCAAAAATTAGAACCCGGAAAAATTTCGTGCCACACGGTAGACCAATTCCAAGTTACCTATTTTTGCAAACGAGCGTTAGTGCGGAGCTTTTAATATGAAAATGACTTTTAACACAAATGTAAGTCATTTTCACGGAAAATGTTTGGCAATTTGGCCTCATTTTAAAAGTGAGGTCATCTGTGGAACACGGAAATGACGTATTAGTATATAAAGCCAACCGTTGTCTAAATTGCGATGCAGACGAATTTTTAGAGTGGGCAAAAGCTGCTTGTTTATGATCGTATCGCTGCGGCCGCCCTCATTAATTTCATGACAGAGGAAAATTGGGGAGAGTAGAGAAAGGAACTCCTCGACCCTTTTTTGAAATCGAACATAGCTGTAGAAAACGCTTGAAACGCAGGCCAAAGGCACGATAAAAGTTTCAAGTTTAGGCCCGATTTTAAATTGCCTGTGGAGATCATTGCCTGGTTAGCCCCAGCTGCGTATCACTTCTTTTTTTAAAATTTTTTCGCGACATTCATGGTTCAACCACCGTCAAGGTAGACTGTGCCAGGCTCTCAGTATGTAGGGACCTCGCCAAATAAACACAAGCCAAGCGAAAATAAGAAGGCGCTCGATCTGAGAAAGAGGGCGGTGGCCTTGATCAGGCTACTGTCAAGGTTTGTACGCAACCAAGCGTATTACCCAAGAGTTTTTTCCCGAAAAGTGGAGACATAGTTTGCGTGCAGACATCTCCCATTTCACGTGGCAACAAAAGAAAATAAGGGACGTCTTTCGCATAATTTTCACTCCAAATCTTCTGCTCTTTTGTCACTTGAAACAGACTGGAGAATGAATGTAATGTGTTTGCGCTCAAGTTTTATAAAAAGCTATGTATGTTTTTTATCCATGTGGATTTCGTCAAAGTTCTTGTTTAGGCCCTGCGATCAAGGACGTCAGTCTATCATGTATAAGACAAATTTACTTTCAAGACTTACGTGGTGGTTTAAATTGCTCCAGTGTTTTTGTTCGGCCTCTGAGTTCTGCCAGAGCCTCTTTTTGCCTCGCTATCACTAGCTCATGTCTCTCTCCTCGACATCGCAGTCCAAGAGCGTGTAATTCACCTGTCATGAGATTCTGTAGAGAAAACCAAATAACTGGTAAAAAAAGATTAAACTTGACTTTAGCGCAATTAAACTGATGGTGAATTAACTGAAGCTCCTTTAGTGGTGCGTGACAAGCTAGACAGAAATTCCAACAGACAGGAAGTCGAAGTCCGAAGTAGACTGACATGGAAAAGAAAGAATTAAACGGATAAATGTATATCTGAAGGAGATTTTTTTCATACTTTAAAAACTGTATTTCTAATAACATCGGAGATATTAAGAAGTTTTCAAGTGATTTATTGGTGAAGGGAATTTAGTCAAAGCCTCTGTGACCTTTGCATGAAAGGTCGCAGACACAAAGCACTAAACCAGACATTTTAATAAAAGTAACTAAACAAGAATGTACGGACTACCTGGAATAAACGGCGCAATGTTTAATCAATGCTAAAACCTCAAGTACTGAAAGCTTAATTTTACGTTAACTGTAATCATATTAGTGAAACGAAAATATAACTATCACGATGTAACACGTATTGAATACTGAATATTGTCACCTCTTTCACGAGCTGTTTTCTTTGTTCTTCCAGCTCAGTGTCTTGCTCTAGTATCCTCTCCTCGTATTGTTCCAGTTTCTGTTTCTGTTTATCGCTTAACTCGCCGGCCATATCAGACATGCGTGCTGCTGCACCCGCCAGATCCCTTCTTAACGCTTGTACCACATCTCCTTGACTTTCAGCCTCTTTCTTAGCTTGGGTCGCTTCGCGTCTAAAAAAAAAAAATTATGTTTCAGGGGTCTGGGTCCCAGCAGGCCACGTGCTTATAAGTTAGCCCCTCCCTTTTGTGTTTGACTTATTTAGTTAACCTATTGGGATTCTTTTTGAACGTCACTTATTTTTATTCTTTTATAGACTGCGAGCAGTCACGGACCAAGAAAAAAGAAAGACTGCTAGTAGTCTAATTCTTTTATTCTCCGATTTTTACATAAATGATGTTACAAAAAAAGAACAAAAGTTCATTATTTCTTGAAGGCCATCGAAGGAGACAACAGGTAAAAAATAGGTGTTTTTTGGAAAAAAAAAGTGTTTAAACGTATATCGCAGTCTTTAAAAGATCTTGTGTAGTCTGCGTGTTCATTGCAAATTAACTATACTCGTAACCCATGTAGGCGAGGGCGCTACGTCGTTTGCAATTGCCCTGACTGGGATAAGAACTGGAAGGATTGTACGGGAAAAGGCGGACTGCAAACAGTCAAAGTTGAATTCAGAATTAGTCCACATTGGAGCAATTGAAAAATATATTGTTAGCAATAAATGCTGAATTTTATAAAGCAGTACATCATAGAAACAATCTACTTTAAAAAAATGATGCTTAAGGTATAGTTTGAGAGTGTGTAAGACCTGTAAAAGGCCATTTTCCAGTTGCCCCAAACCTCTGTTTCAAAGCGAGGCTATGGGTGAAACCACTGATATGAAAATCAGATTTTATTCCCATGCACTGAAATAAAACACTTAGGGTGCTTCCATTTGTCAAAACTGTGCGGCCAGCACCCTCCCGTCGTAACGAGAATTTCACTTTTAATCAAAACTATCCAGCTAGATCAGTCAAATACTGAATAGAGTGCACGAAAAAGATGGTTTTTCCACAAAAACTCTTGAAAAGGCCATTTCATTTTCAAACTGACTGGTCCAGCAATGGTGCGGCCGGCAAGTTTTGACAAATGGACTGAGCGCCCTTAGCTTCGTTTTGAAAGTGAGAGTTCTGGAACTCGGACATTGCTCGTGATTTCATTCCTTTATCATGAAAACCACAGCAACTGACATATCCGAAGACAACTTTTTTCAGGAGGTACTTTGCTTTGAATGCGTTAAAGGAAAATAGGATTCAAGTATTTCGCTTTGCGTTTACATACGGTCCTGCAGTAGCTGTTACCTTAGTAACAAGACCAGTTGTTCCAGTTTGTAGACATCTGACTGCAGAGTAGCTTCCACGCTTGTCTGGGGTACAGTCTCCGTCTCGACTGTTCTCGTCTGGGGTTTAGGTTCTTTTCTGGGAGACTGAGGTCTAGAGGAGTTCATAGGATCTTTCTTAGGGGAGGAGGGTCGGGATGATTCTTTGCGCGGGGATGTCGGTCTGATTTTGCCTGCAAAAATGATATCTTTTACTCTTCTGTCCATAAACTTACGTTAAACACAACGTCCTCATCTAATGTTCGCATCCACTTTTTTGTTTTGCTTCATCAAACAAGCAGTAAACAAACAGAACACAAACATTTTCTTCGTACACAAACCTACTGGCCTGTTCCAGGCTCTCAGCTAGTAAGAATGACGCGTAAGTGAAAGGCACGCGAAATGTGAGCGCGTGATCTCAATTTCGCGTACCGGACTATCTCGGATCATGGAAAAGGCCAGAAACCTACTGACAGACTTGGACAAAACGAAAAGTATTTACACTGAAAAGCTAAAAAGTTATATACAAACCGGATTTGCATAGTTAACGGTAATGTAATGCAGCGATCCCTCTATAGGGACTGTCTTTTAAAATATACATCTTTTATGTTTTAATTTTAAAAAGACAGAATTCGTCTTTCCTAGTTTGAAAGAAAACGGAGAGAATACTTATATAACAAACGGTGTTCATTTAACAGACAAAATCTAACTTTCTCACTTTTTAGTAGAACGATCGTTATACGAAATTAATTTCTAACATTGCCTAAGTGATACATAACGATTTAAGGGCTAAATAGAGTACCGTTAACATCCATTAAAAAGTCGTGCGCAATCAGATCATTTAATGTACAAATGCAAAGCAACAGAGAACAAAAGAAAGTTCTCTGAATTTTGCTTTCAACGTTTTCCAATACCAAAAGGGAGATACTAATTTTTCATAAATAGTTTAACATACCACCAAAGTAGTCAGTCAAGGCCTCTTACGATACTTAAAAAAGTTGACGTTAAACACTGTATAACAGATCTCGAGTGTCGATAAAAAGAAACAAAACAATTTATATCTTGAATGCTAAGTCTGTCCTTAATTATTCAAAGCTAATTGATTTAGAAGCAGTCTTCATTAAATTTAGAACTCAAACTTAGACGTCTGAAAATAAACCAGCTATAAATAATCTAAGAACAGATCTTTTATTTTTCGCGAACTCTTGGGAATTCTATTCTTTTCCACTGAAAAGAAGGATTAACGTGTCTTGAGCATTGGATTATTTTAAGGACTTAAAAACACATCAGAGAATGGGAGCAAAGAGAAAACCAATACAACAAAAATTGAAAAGCAGAAAAATGTGTTCACTGAAAGGAAACCGATATTTTTTTCCAAAACGTAAACGAAAACAGGTTCGCTTGAAATAACAATGGTGTACTCCTTTTTTGACTTTTCATATCTAACACGGACTTGAGAGTAGAAATTTGTTACGAGTTGAAGAAATAACACAACAGTTTTCAATTAACAAGACATGTTTCTGCAAACTTATGCCATTTTCAGTCGTAGAAGCTCGTTACAATATTATTTCTTCAAATCGATCATATCTAAAACCAACGACAAAACAGTGGTTAGAAACAATTAGGCCAAGCTCAACAGCTTTAGGCCCTATCCACACGAATCCGGTTATTTTTTGAAACCGCATCCTTTTTTTGGCACGAATGAGCCTTTTTGTGCACACGAAACCAGTGAATCCGCCAACCGAAACCACCTCTTGCTCGGTGAAAACGCTCGCCAGACTGGTTTATGCCACCCCGTTCACACGGATCCGGGTAAGAAAAGATGCGGTTTTAAAAATATCAGGATTCGTGTGAACGTGGCCTCAGTAACAGCTAATCGTGAAAAGCATTTAAGAAAGTCAATCGAAGGAGCATTTTACTAACCTGTGGTCTGTTTAGCGTGCATTGCCTCCTGTTCCAACTGTCGATTTTGCCGAGTCAGTCTTAACAGCCTTTCTTCCATTGCCACTATCGTGACTGCGTGTTGTCGAGTTTGTTCCTGTAAGTATATAAATAAATGATGACAACGATGTAATCTCTGTAATATCTTGATAACTTTTCTATTTGAGTTTGTCGGGTAATCGTGCGAGGTCGATTTAACAAAATCACTGAATTGCTTCACTGGGGTATTGACTTAACTGGGTTTCACCTCTCCATTTGGGGGAGTCACGCGCAGCATCCCCGCTCGCTTCGGCCGACACTCATATTGGTCAGTTTATAAATCAGAATATATTGAGTTAACTCCGAGACACAAAAACCTTTTGAAAAATTACCAAATGGCCCTACATTTGTGTGGTACAGAAACTTAGAGATTGACCAAGGAATTAACTGAAGCAGAAATTGTAGGTGTTTATTAACAAGTGCCTAAGCAAGATCCGACGGATTTTGTGGCCCAAAAGAATCCGAAATGAAGAGTTGTGGAGACAGGAAGGGCAGCGCCGATAGAGGAGGAGATAAGAAAACGAACATGGCGGTGGATTGGCAAAACACTGAGGAGACCAGACAAACAAGTGGCCAAGACAACTCTTTAATGGATCCCACAGGGGAGTCCCAGACACACTTAGCGACGACCGGAAATACGTCTGCTGTTCGCAGGCTAAGACACACTTTGAAGCGCACAAGGATGTGAGAACATGAGGGGAGAGGACGTAATGGTTTGAATCAAAATAGAGTCAAATTGTAAAAATTAGTGGAGTTTAAAGGTTTAAAGGATTGTTTATAGTGGAAAGTGCACTTAGCTTATCCAGCTACTTTAGAGGCGCTCCACCTAATACTTAGAAACAAAGAATTCAAATACAACATACGATTATTAAAAATCCCAACAGGGAAGCAGCCAGTTGGCTATTTACAAGCGTGGCCGAGGATTTGAACTCGGGAAGACCGAGAACAAATCCTACAAGTGGCCAGAGCGGGACTCGAACCCGGGACCGCGGGATTGCGAGTCCGACGCGCTGACCACTCGGCCACGAAGAGGGCTGAACGAAGAGGACTGATGAAGATGATAAAAATCCTAAATGATCGACCGTTTACTGAGTATTCAGCCAGTCACATTTTAACGATGATGTACTAAAGATACCTTGAAAGAAGCGACCTCGTCTTCTTTATAATTCCGCAGTTATTCTTTCTCACGTTCAACACGAGCCAGCTGTTCTTTGTAGGCTGCGGATTGTTCCTGAAGCTGACTTCGTAAGTACGCCTAAGGAGAAAGTTCGGTCATTTCGTTATTTAACAGCGTCTTGTCGCGTCTAATAAACACATACAATAAAAACCTATCTTTCAGACCGATCTTTGGTTTTCAATTGTAGAATCCACTCTTTGCTGAATTACAAATCGGAAATCGTTATAGGCAACCGTAATAGGAAAATTTAAGTTCATTTTTTGGCAAAAAACAGGCAACGGTTTTTTGTGCTTATCCGAGAAGACTAGAAAGACTAACCGTTTGCAGATGTCATTACAAAGGTAGCACTTTCTCCTCAGTTATTTCGAAGACCCTGAGTTTTGGTCCGGCCGGGGTTTGAACCCGCGACTCCCGCTCAGCAGACCGGCGCTCTCCTAACTGAGTTAACTAGGCGGCGGTTATTAGACAGTAACGAAAAACGGTATTTCAGCATGAGGATATAAGTGCGAGAGGTGCAGAAAGACTAACTTTGAAGAACGTACCTCAGTCTCCTTAGCTCTGTGTAATCCATCTTTAGCTTGTTCGTACTGGGACTTTGCTGTTGCCAAGGCAACTCTGTGATTCTCTACCTCCTTCTGTCGTTCATTAAGTACCTGCATAGAAGACTTAGTAGCTCAGTTTACCGCCGATCCAACCCTGGCCTGCGAGAAGTCTTTCGTATTCGCACGCAGTGCGCGGCTCTTAGTAGCCTACGTAGCAAACCTCCCAACTTTCTCAACGTATTCGCGGGGAAACGCTTTCAACGGGCCGATCGCTCGTGGTCTACGTTATAGGCAGCCCTCTTGGCTATAAATATACGGAGGGGGAGGGTCCCGGGGTTTACAGTGGTGAAACCGTCCCTCGTCCCTAAATAGCGGTCATTTTACTGTTTATTTAACTTGTTGGCAGCTCCCACTGTTGTTTTAAATTTGATGGCTTATTTCCAGTGACTGACATCTCCAAAAATAGGCCTGTTTCAAGAATATCATATTTCTGGTTGTTGTCGCTCTAAACTTTTACTTAAGCATTCCTTCAATTTCTCTTGGGGCGATTATAAGTCACAAGAGAAATTGAAAACAATGCTTATGCAAAACTTTGGAGGGACAACGAAACAGTATTATCGCATTTTTGAAAAAGGCCTTTAAGCATTTGTTCAGTACCTGTTGTAATTGGGTAACGCTACCATGTTGTGACTCCATGATCTTTCTCTCCGCATCCACTGCTGCTTGTATCCGCTCTCGCTCTTTTTGTTTAAATTCATGCATCATCTCATGCTGTTTTTCTTCTTCCTCAGATCTCACTTGAGCCACTGCGCGGGAAATGTGTTTTTCTTCCTCTCTCTTCATGTCCTCTCGTAACTTTAACACAACTTCCTGATGCGTCTCCTCCATTTCTGCAATCCTACACACAATGAAGAGAAAAAAAATTAATGAAATTTGTTTTACTTTCAAAACTAGTCTTCCATCGACAAAAAAAAAACAACCAAAATTATTGATTTACATAGTTTTCCCAGCTTAATGAAGAACTGTAACAGTTTTTTTGTATGGTTAACCTAAGTCACAGATTGTCAAATTGAAACGTATTCAGAACTCGCTATGAACATCAGCGAGTATTCTCATATTATACCCGCACTTCAAGATCTTCACTGGCTGCCAGTTCACGCTCGTATTCATTTTAAGATATTAATTTTAGTTTTCAAGGCAATTCACGGACTTGCAACACCATATATCAGTGATTTAATTAGTGTTAGATCGAAGTCCTCTTACAATCTTATATCAAATACTAGTCTTTTACTTGAGCCGCTTAAAGAGAAAATGCTTTCTACGCTTGGTGACAGATCATTCTACGCTGCTGCGCCATGTTTGTGGAATAGTTAGCCTGCTGAATTGCGCGAATTTCAATCATTAACTATTTTTAAACGTAAACGTACCTTTTTCGGATAGGTTAGACTAGAAATTCGATTTCATCTGGACCTTTTTTAGCTAATTTGATCTGATTTTATTGTACTATACTATATCTTTATTTCTTTGATTTATTAATTAATTAATTTTCAGTCAGTTGTATTTTACATTTCACATTTTACATTGTACAGTTATATCATTTTAGAATAGATTTTTAAGTGAATTATTGTAAAGCGCTACTGATCATTTCTATGTAAATAGCGCTATAGAAGTACTTCAATTACCATTATTATTATCATTATAAGTAACTGATCTGAAAAAATCTACTGTTTTTTGCTATGAAGACACTTAAAATCTACCGTTGTGTTCTATTGAGATCAAAACCAGACTTATTCTTTGACGAATCGAGGTTGCAGTTGAATCCCTGGTATCGCCTTTGTTTTTATACTGTTGAATCGAGCAAACCGTCATTCGGTGTTATAAACCTGATAAAATATTATGCCATGCTCCGGAAAACCGCTGAAGCTAATGACTGTGAACGAATAACAGCAGCTAATCGCATGACAGTTTGATAGGTCAAGCTCACATTGGATTCTGCGGTAAACAAAGAAGAATCGCGCTATCAACTGTAACATTTTAAAGCTGCAATCGAGGTCACAAATAACTCCTCTGCGCCCTGTGTTTGAGCCTCTACATCAAACTATTTACCTTTTCTTTTTTTTCCTGTTTTAGGGTTAAATAATGCTAGGACTGGAATTAGATGATTACATTTTTAATCTTCTCGAACGTACAGCTCACACGAGCACTCCATTGGCAAAAATAATGACGGCAAAGCAAAACTGTTAGCGGAAGCTTCTCATCATTTTCGACAATCGAGTACAGCACTTTAAAGACGATTCATAACCCAAAACGGCTTTTGCCTGAGAGCAGACGGAAAAGCCCAGAAAACCGAAATTGATATGGCCGCCATGTGACAAAAGCCCATAAAATCTGCTTGATATCTTCTTCTTTTGTGTTTGGGGTAAAGGTTCTAAGTAATAGCTTCAGCACAGAATTGACCTAAAACAGAAATATCCTTGTACAGACTTAGGCTCTTTAAGAGTAAAAATGAGTCCAGTGAGCTTGGAATTCTTACTTTCCCTTAAGTTTCCGACACTCTTCCTTCTGATCTCGTAACTGGCGACACATATCTTCCACGCTGATAGACGTCTCTGCCAAAATTAAAGCAAAAACAGATGAGTTGCTCGGTAGTTATGATACAGGTTTTCGGCCTTTTCTGCTCTTTCGAAATTTTAAGAAAAGACTCCAAAACCTCACCATAATGTTGCACGAAGATTTGCCGAAGGCGACATTCGGTATCCCGAAGTTTTTACTCACCAGAATCGGAATCCTCTGTGGCTCTCTTCAGAGCGTCTTCAGCCTTTTGCTGCCAAACAGCCTCGTTAGACAGCGTCTTACAAACAAAATCCTGAAAAAAATAAAAAGTTCACGTTACAATTCATTCCACAAAGCCCTTTTCTCCCTATCTATTTTTAGTGAAAACAAAGATGCCATTCTCTCGCTCGGTTCACATCACTATTGCGACCTTTTAACCAACGAAGCTGTGGAGGATCTGATGGCGAGCAAGGGCCTTAAGACGATATATTTAAATTCTAACATGACTCCGAGGTTTTAGGGACACAATGGCAAATTTTTCACGAATCCATCTTCTGCCAATTCCCAGAAGAGACTTGAGCACAAACCAAACCAAAAGTATAGAAAAATGACCAGAGAGCCTCGGAGTCATGTTAGAATTTTAATACATCGAGCGTAGGTTATTTGGTCATAAGCTACCTGAAAAAGGGAGGCAATGATTTCCAACATTGTTGCGCCAACAATGTTGCGTGTTGTTGCGTCCGTGTTGCACTTAGACTACGAGTAGTCCCCATTTTTCCTCAGGGATAGTAGAGCGGGCAAAACGCGAGCGCGCGTGAAAATCACCCCACGCGAGAAAAGGCGACACGCGCCTCATTTTTCTCTCTCCCCGCCGCGTGTGGCCTTTTCTCGCCGGGGTGATTTTCACGCGCGCTCGCGTTTCGCTCGCTCTACTATCCCTGAGGAAAATGGGGATTCTGTAGTCTATGTTGCAAACAAACGGATGCAACAGATCCCAACAACACGCAACAACATGCAACAGGGTGTGCAAACGGACGTAACATGTAAAATCCAACAATGTTGGAGTTTTTTGCCACCAATGTTGCGTCCGTTTGCACGGGGCTATAGACGCAAAGCATCATGATAAACTTGATTAACAATGGTAGTGTTTCCAAGGGCGGTCCGTTTTTAATCTCTCTTATATTTATTGTTTTAACTAAATCAAATCTTCAATGCAAAAACTCTGTCAACCTATTTATAAGAAATACAATAGCTATCTAATAACAATCATAATTTTAACCATTAATAGTAAATGAAAACATTCCCAAGGCTGGCAGATCTCTATGTTTATAGATTGAAAATAAAAACCTCATCCTCTCCCCTTCGTTTTTAGGCACCTATTTTCGCGACCTTCGTTCTTTAATTCCAAAGCCGGAAAAGGAGCTTTAAGTAGGTAAACTTTTTGTTATAATAATGTTACCTTAATCCATGACAGTGAATCATGAGTTGTAAGCTCCTCAACTAAAGTCAGCTCTTCTTCCAGCGCAGTGTATGTCCGACCTGACTTCGACAGTCGTTTCTATGGATGGAGTGGACCGATTTAGGTTTCTGGGAAACTGCCCACCTACCCCTCTCCCCCCTCCCTCCCCTAATTCACACTTGGGGCAAAATGTTGGGTTGATCCGATGGAGTGTACAGCAGAGAAATAAACGATCTTTCTGAATACGAGCTTAAGTAATAAAAAGTACAGCTTCTTTGCTGTTCAGAGCGTCTCTGGAAAACACAGCAGAGAAATAAACGATCTTTCTGAATACGAGCTTAAGTAATAAAAAGTACAGCTTTTTTGCTGTTCAGACCGTCTCCGGAAAACACTGCATAGAAATGTATGATCTTTCTTAACATGAGTTTACGTAACAAAACGACTGCTAATACTTCTTTCAATGAAGTTCCCACTATCGTGAAAACATTACTAGAAAAACTCCTGGAATGTATAATAACCTATAAAGCACGGTCCATGAAGTAAAATTATGAAAATTCAATGGTATAGTC